TTTTTTGCATTTACAAGTCGGCGGCGCGAGAAATTACGCTGAAATAAAATTTATATTTTTATATCATTTTCGACTTTTGTTCATTCGGCAGGTTCGCGAAACAAGGGATAATAAAAGTCTGGCCTAACTAATTAATTGTACTTGATGCTTTTTGTATACTTGAGTTTGGTTTTGTCTTCTACTCTTTGAGAACAACACACATTGGATAAAACTTAAAATTATTTACTAATTTTCATAAACATTAAATATTGTCAGCCTTTTACCAATCTTCTCGAGAATTAAATCTCAAAATTTAAAAAACGCCTAGCTTCCACACAAAAAAAAACTTCCATCCTGTGTCTTCTAATACGACATGGTAGTTGACACCGAGGTTATTCAGCTTTTTGTGTGCATGTATTAATAACGTGATGTATGAATATAAGTGCCGTAGTAAAGTAATATGGTAAGATTGGTCATTGTATTCTTCTTTCATGATCATTGCCATGCCACTTACGAACATAGTCATTTTTCATGCGTGATTTTTTTTCTACATGATTTTTTCTGACTGACTCGTGAAACGTGTTTTTGAGAAACTGGTTTCTTGTAATTCATACATGTACCTTACTGTGTGGTCTTTTTCTTTCTAGTTGATCTGGTATTTCTGGTAAGAAAACGAACACTGTTATATAGAAACAGACAATAAAGCCTATTGCATCATTCATTAAGGTAAGTTTGATGACACGATAGTTAATTCCTCTGTTCATCTTTCTCTTCAGTTTCTCTTCCAAATTGTCAAATTTTGTCTCTTCACTTCTAGTAATTAAAACACATGATGTAAGCGTGATTTGGGACATTAGTATAATATGACTGAAAACAGATTGGTTAATTCCTATTGCTTTCTGTAGATACAAAATGTATGGTGCTTCATTTTAAGCCAACTTTCACCGACTTTTTAACCATTTTATGAAATTGATTCCTTTAAAGCCCTCCCCAGTGACCACTTGGTTCCCCGTTGTTTTATTGCATGCATACTTATCCATTAATCTGATAAATATTGTGGGTCTTTATGTATTTTACTGAATTCTTTCATTTTTTTTCAAATCTTGCATTAACTTGGAGTTTGTACAATCTCCCTTACCATGAGCTATGCATATACATTAGTCTCCAATGCCATTTACCAGTTTCAGTGCTAAATATATTTTAAATTAGCCCAAATTTTTCTTTAAAACAGCATGTCTGCAACGAAATAGCAGGGAATGTGTAATGAGTATTTATTGTGAGTGATTAGCGGATGTTTTACACTACAAAGACACCGCGTGTTTGTCTTACTACAAGTAGTGTCATGGTGAGAGGCTGGTAACTGTATTTTTGATCTCACTGAGAGATGTCTAATTTGGCCACACTACACTTGTAGATCTCTTTAATTGGCTTCTCTCTTTCTGTGAGACCTCTTGGCTCGGCTCCTTATCATCTCCTGCTGGTGTTACCCGTACTAAGTGTCAACAATACCCGTGACATCCAACCCTCTCCATGTCTCTCACAACTCAATAAGTGGGTGTCAGGGTGAAAAAAAAAAAAAAACGTACTCATCTAAAGTAGGCAAGGCTTCAAAATAATTACTACACTTTCCATGTGGAAAACTCAACTATAGTATTCTTGAGTGAAACAGTAGGTATTAAAAAAATACAGTAAACATTTGGCTTTCTATTCTGAAGCGCAATGATTATGAATCCCCCAAAATGCAGAATTATTAGGTCTCTATAATTGTATCTAATACACTACTTGTCTGGTTTTTAGTTAACTTTATTACAATTGATTGCTATTATGTAATTCATATATACTTTACTTAATTAGTTAACTGCGATACGAAATCGTATACTCATTAACTTTAAAAAGCCGAGAATTAGTGAAATCCTCCAGTTGTATGGAAGATGCTAATTAGGGCTACTGGGAGACAATCCTTGACCTATCGAAGGGAATAATCGTAGCTATGGCCACATCATCCGGTAATTTGAGGTAGCTTGGCTAACTGTTGCCAGTCTTGTAACTTGAGGTACTTTGGCTGACTGTTCCTGGTATGCAGTGTGAAAAAGTGAGCTTAGCTAAATAATGGCGCCAAATAAGCACATGGGTGGTAATCAGACACTAATGAGATTGGTGGGATGCTCTTTTAAGTTAACTTCATCATTTGTTGTACTGCATTCATTCTTCTGAAGCTGTCTGTCTACCAGGTAAGGCTTTAGCAGTCTCTTCTCTAAGCTTTTTTTCACCCGCTACTTGTATATATAGATATACACTGTGTACAAGTCATCTAATTTTACTCTGATACATGTATGTATGTTATTATTAATACTCATGACAATAATTCTAAGTGACAAATTTGAATTATAGCAAAAATAGTGCTTATTATATTCTATTTTCTGATAAGAATTTCCTTTTAAAAAAAGGAATTCGTTGGGTGTATTTTTATACCTTTGTTTGATGTCCATGTAACTTTTATAGCATCTCTGCCAGCAAATTAAACAGAGTATTTGTATTTTGTCTATAATTGCTAGGAGTATTAATAAAAGCCTTGGTTATAAACTCTTGTTTTCTATATAAAAAAACAGTGATGCATGAAGCTTGCACGACACTTCCATGGAACACAGTATATGCAATTCTGTAGTTGTATTTTTTGTGTTGAACTCCAAGAGCAAATGTGTCAGGTTTTGTCCATCAACGGAGGTTTACATGCATTATGCTAGTTTGGAAAATATTTTCATGGATGGGAACATGTTAATTTTATTCTGTTGTTGGTGATAAGAGTGGTGGCATCATTCGTTTTCTATATGTGTACCTGGTGTTATTAGTTAATGAAGCTGAATGCATGTTCAATAGTCACCATCTACTAAAAGTATCATCTTGAAGGTATGTTTGTTATTCTGTTTCCTCAATCTACTGACGTTCATAACAAACTGGCTGTCTTGAAGGTTTTTCTTTTCTCCAGAAATAAATGTAGGACTTGTACGCTTTTCGTAATTGATTTATTCTTTTCATATGTCCATGTTCAAAACGACGTATCCATGCAAATTATGGTAGGTATACATGCGACGACGTTTTCCTGTTTTCCCATGATACATCAATTTAAATCTTCAGTTCATAGCAGTTCAAATTGACTTTTAATGAGTGCATGTAATGGCTAGAATGTTTGTGATAGTATTATAGTGTACTTTATACCCACATCTATATTGACTCCCCTGGCTCAGTATTTGTTATGTTCTTCTGTCTTCCTAATAGACCTGTATCCTTCACCATGTGTGTAAACAATCCTTTCTAAGTTTGTCTTTGCCCCCATCACCTACGTTTATTTTTTAATGTGGCATATACACACTGTATTTACAGCTTAGGTATTTCGTAGTTTTGTTTGTTCATGGACATGTACATGGACAACATGTATGGTCTTAGTGTTATTAAGTGTTCCCTCTGACAGGAAAGATTTTGTAGGGATCTTGATTCAAAAAAATCAAGGTTAGTTAAGCTTGTTTTCTGCTGGAGAGAGAGGTCTATAAAAATAAATAAAAATTGTATGCAGCTTTGTGTGGACTTAAGATGCAAACAAATATTTTTCACATATTTTGTCACATCAAATGTGAATTTAATTTTACGCCAAATTACAAATTCCGTAACCATACAGGAGTTTCGCTAAGTTCTTGGGTAGGATGCTAGATTCAGGAAGTAGGAGTCCAAAATGCGGCGCTTACAAGCGTGAGTCTTAAAATACAGAGTAGTCAGCTTAACAAGCCAAGTAGACAGCTATTTTGCTGTCGGCCACCTCTTAACAAAACCCCTGCTATAGTAAGACGTTTTTTCTAGCTCATATCAATGTATGATTTTCTGTTGCGTCACTGACACGCCACAACAAATCTCTGTGTGCCAGTGACACGTTTGAAATACACAATAGTGTTATATTCGTCAAGTAGATTGCTATGGCTTTGAGTCATGAATTTGTTACCTAGCACATCTGGTAAAGTGGCTACTGTTTTTCAGGAACGTTATAATGCTGACTTAGTTCAAAAAAGGGATTAGCCTTTTCAAATCTCATGAATCTATTGCCTGATGCATTTACGTATATTACAACCTGGTTGATGGGAGTGTGCGAATGAAAATTTAGAAATCAACCTAGGTGCAGAACAGAGTAGACTAGGAATGATAAACTAAAAAGTGACTATGTACATGTTGATGTTAAAGTGTGGATGGGTAAATTATTAGTGCCGCCCTGCCTCACCCACATAGAATACATTACTGTCTATGTAAAATTTCTCCAAAAAACAAACAAAAACATTGTCTTCCCATTCCTTCATTCCTCAGTCACACATTGTCACTGTAAATCCTCTACAGGTAACCCTGTCACTACTACAAAATCATTTGCACTACCGTTGGTTTTTGCAAAATGGAAGCGGTTTACAGTACGAAAACCATACCGTAATTTAAAGCTGCCCTGTTATTTCGCTGACCAGCTATTTTTGTACACAAGAAATACATGCGTATGTTGTTTCCTGTTTGCCATCTGTTTACCTTCTTTCTGTCCCTCATCCTGTCTACTGAACAAATGTTATCTTGAGTGATTGACAAAATGTATATGGTATAGAAAGGTATATGACTGAAACATTGAAGAGAAAAACTGAAATATTGCAGTCTCACCATCTGTTTGTAAAAATTACAATATTCTTTAATTGACGATTGATGGGAAAAATTCAAGAAATATCTGAAGAAATTTAATATAACCCTAAAGTTTTACTTTCTGAATCCTGCAAAGGTTCACCTTTCAGTTTGGTTATTTTGATTTTGCAACATTGTCTCTATTGCCTTACTGCACAGTCTCGGTCATCATTACATGTCTTTTCATTACATTTCCATACATACAAACTTCTCAAAATGAGCTATAACTTTGAAAATCATGAAATAGTTGGTAATGGTATGCATAGTGAAACAAATATCTATCTGCAGCACATTTTTGTAATCTATTTTTAATAGTAGCACATTGTATCAACGTTTTTGAATAGTTTAAACGTATTTCTTTATCATACACTTTTCTTTGTTAACATATGGATACAGAAGTGTTATTGCATGTGATGGAAATGAAATCTTGTCACAGAACACAAACTTTCGCACACCACAAAATGTTTTTTGTTGCCATTATTATTACTATAAGCAGGAAAATAAGCATAATATCCGAAGAATATACTTTGTTTTTTTTATATGTGCTCCTAATAGAACAAATACAGTAGCACATGCATATAATTTTAGAAGAAATAATTATTTTATGAGCAATTAAAAAATAAACTCTGGGGGGATAATCTTAGGCCATTGGTCTCAATTAGGTTATTTTAGGAAACCAATTTGTGTATGTTTGTATTCACTGAATTGAAGTACATTTAGTAATAATTCACAGGTCGGTGCTTATAGTGTACTGATTAGACTGGTTCTATCTGATTCGTAGTTCTGTTGCCCAGTTTGTATTTATTCATAACAAAAGGGCCCACACGTCGGGGCATTTTAGCGTGTCATTGAATGCTGCATTGTTTGTTATAAAACAAAATGAGTCCTTGAGCATATGTCAAAGCTGTTTTGCTATGATTTTTAAGTTATAACCCATTTTGACAAGTTGGAAGGAGTCTGTATGGAATATAATAATGAAGATACATGATGGCAGAGGCATCTGATAATGTATGGAACTATGGCTGATG